TAAGGAATGGGTTCTCTGTCATTCATTCTTTGAAGCAGGAAGGGTATTAAAAAAATGGGGCTGTTAAAATTTACCACATGGCTTTTGTTGACAAATCACCCTACTTTCAAATGTAGCAGATGTGCTTTATGTGTACTTCCAATTCTATCAAATAAGTGTATTTATAATGTGGATTCTGGAATGGCAATTTAATAAAGTTAATGATTTTTAACACTTCAGTTAGGACATGTTTAAGTGAACTTGCATGTTTTCCCTTCTGCTGTTACAATGTGCTCAGGAATACCGTAACTACTATTGCAGTTTAGTATCACAGCTTCCACTTTGGCAAGTTTTACTTTGGTGTAAGTAATGTTTTAGTGATATTATAAAAGTATTTTTGATCATATGGATCCTGTGCAATCGTCTGAACACCTCCAAGGGTTCCACAGATCACACGCTGAGAACTGCTGCTCAGAGTAACCTGTGGAGAGATCCCAAATGGTCCCATTTTTTTTGCTTGATTGTGTGCCTCTGTTCTCAGTAATTGCAAAAACCTGCAAGAAGACATGGTATTGTGAATAAGGAATGAAATTATGCACAATTAGGTGCAGAAGAAAAACCAAAAATAAGTTCATAGAAATTAAAAACTGGTCACAGAAATGAATAATCCTATAGATGATTTGGACAATTAAAATAGTCCCAGAAAAGAATTAGCATGGTACGCTGTTTGAGGAGGCTCCTGGGAGCCTATGTGCCCTTCACTAGCAACAGCCACACCTCTGGATGTCTGCCACATCTGCACTGCTGACCAGTACTACAAAAATAAGACTCCATGCCCCCATAGGAAGATAATTCTTTTTTCTTTGGTTCCTGGGATTGAACCTGGGGGGGGGGTAGCCACTGAGAAATATCCCTAACCCTTTACAGGTGGGTCTGGCTAAGTTGTCAGGTCTGGCCTGGGATTGCTGCAGTCCTCCCTTGGTCTCTCCTGAGTCTCTGGGGATTACAGTCTTGAGCACCATGCCCAGCCTGGCCTAAGCTAATTCTTCAGATCAAAATAAGACTAGCATGTTGAATGACAGGGTGAGGAGTGGGGGTAGAGAAAATCTTGGTCTCATGGACCTTACTCTGCTGCCCTCTGCAAACAGGACAAGCAGGGGTGAAAAGTGAATCCAATTTCACCTAGAGGATTATTCCTGGGTACTCAGCTGTGACCCCAACTCCAGCCTATTTTCCATAATCCTAATTTCTAGTGGCCAATGGTTTTGACATTAATGTTCCAATTTGGGAAATTTCCAATCCCAATGCTTCAGCTACAAAGGGAATTCAGGTTTTTACAGCCTTTCTCTGGGTTCCCATTTTCTTTGATCCCTGTTTCCAGTGGGCCCCCAAAGGTAACTGGGAATGTGGGGACCTGCCGG